ACACACACACAATAAATAGATGTAATAAATAAAAATAAATAAATATTTTAGAAAAGAGTTTAATTAAAAGAGAAAATAAAGGGAAGAACAGCTTTGACAAAAAGCAAGCTGGTCCTGTAATAAGTAAAGTAAGAGCAAATAGAAAGGTACACTAGCTTGAATAGTTGAAGCAGACATACTCTAAAAAACAGGATCAGACTGGCCCATTCCTAAAAGAGGAGGCTAACCTTTAAGGATTGGATGAAACAAGTCAGGGTCCAGTGGACCATTATCTCAGTTGTAGTTTCCATAGAACTGAAGGAATCCTCTTATGACATAAGGGAAAATTTGGTTCCCAAAAGATATTTTTTGCATGGGAAAATCTCAATCTCCTTGAGGAGATTGTGAGGTACTGCTGGAATCCCAGGTGACCTTCAGGACTGAAGGTTTCTGGGTGTAGTTGTATGTCCCTGTAAATTACTTATCTTTGTGTCTTGAGTCTTAAAGTTTGATGAGACTACCAGGGCTAAACAACCCATTTTGCTAAGTTTCAGGCATATACTCCTTGAATGATTAGTGTGCTTGTATGCAGAGATCAGATGGTATTTGATTCAAAGTTTTAAGGAAACAAAGACTACCAATAGAGAGGAGGAGGAAGACAAGGAGAAGGAAGAGGAGGAAGAGGAGAAGGAGGAAGAGGAGGAGGAGGAAAAGGGGGAAGAGGAGGAACAGGGGAAGAAGGAAGAGGGGAAAGAGGAACGAGAAGAGGAGGGGGAGGAGGAGGGGAGGAGGAGCAGGAGGAGGAGGTCAAGCTTTGTTCTGATTTTAGTTACCTATTGGACATCTGTAGGCCCAAGTGGTCACTTTTTTTTTTTTTTAAAGCAAAACCCACTGCCTCAGAAGAAAACACAAATTATGCTTCCAATGAGTAACAGGTTAAAGACCCAGGACTTATTTAGTCCTCTGTCCCTAGGGTGGTCTTTGCATCAGTTAGATTAGGGCTTTGAGCTTTGGAAGGAAAGTACTATAAAGTGCCACGTGCTGTCTATCAAGTTCACACTGTCAGCATGACGCATCACTGCTGATGCTGAGACCGTAAGGCTGAGGTAGTGCACAGGAGGTTTCTCCACCGTAAAGGCACCCAGTTTGCCCCCTTTCCAGACCGTATTCATTGGAAGGAGGTCACACAAGGAGGTGGGAGTTAAAGCTTGTGGATGCAGTATACACAAATGAGGACTCTTCTGTGGGAAATTTCTCTCTTTCCTATTTATTAACTTTGTCACTCCCTTATATTAGTATGGGATCACGAATATTTCTTTCTTTCTTTTTTTTGGTGGAACCAGGGATTGAACTCAGGCCCTTGCGCTTGCCAGGGAAGCACTTATTCCACTGAGCAATCTGCTCGGCCACGAATATTTCTTTTATACTTTGAACTATAACCCAATACTACTCTACTTGTTTTACTGTTGAAGGCAAATATATAT